CATGTGTTCTTGATTACATGAACATGGAATTCTATTACAGGCAATTCTATTCTAATTCTATTACCTGCTTCACCAAGAATCATAATATCAAATACTTTCACAACAAAGTATGGCGAATTCATGAACTTATCTTCCTCCTGGGCCAAATAAGGCGGCATATTAACAAACAAGTTGAGTGGGCGAACTTTCTGAGCTCGTACGTAATGTCCCGAAGAAAAGCAAAAATCGGAGCATATCAAGGACTCGAACCCCTGACCTATTGTTTATGAACCAACATCCCTATCTACTACACCATCACCACGCTTTGCGTCTTGCTTCCCTCGAATTTGAACAGAACCTCGGGGTAAGGTAAGCTAAAAAGACCCCCCCCCGTAACTTCCTTCAGAGAATAGCTCTGCAAATTCTGAGCGCAGATTTGAGTTCAGCGTCTCGAGCTCTGTCTTTGTGTATGCATCTCATTGCAAATGGCCTGGCTGACCTATTGACCTTTCCTGGTTAGCGCCTTCACACCAGAAGCGGCGTAGAAGACGATTGACAAACTTTTTTTTTACCTTGGCAGATCCTTCATACATGAAATGGAGCGGTAATCTACATGATTCCAGAAACTAGAAGGCTTTCCCTTTCGAATGAATAAACATCTTCGGTGTAGCTGTTATCAAAGAAAAACGTCCCTTGTGGATAAGGGCAAACATAAAGCGTAAATCTGTACGGTTTTGTAACCTAAAGATTTTCTTTATCCGTCCAATTTGGCTGGGACTCCATCGTAGGGCAAATTCGCGCCGCCCGTTGCGAGTTTTGCTCCAGAGGTACACTTCAACTGCTGTTGCAGGGTTCCCCTCAGGCTACATTTCCATCCAGACACCCCAGAAGATATATACCACACCTCTCCTACTTGTTTTAAATAGGAGTGTACAGCAGTGCTGATCAACTCCTCTATGGAATGTCGTGGTCGTGTGTGTCGTGTCCAACACCGTGGCTCAGGCATGGGATCACGAATAGCACAACTGCTGCCCATTATGTACCTGGACTTCTTGGAACGGGATTCGTTGACAGCTGGAGTAATTTTCTGTGAACGATATATCGACGATACGTTGCGTTACGTTCATAATTGGTTCGTCCCCAGCCGAATTAGAAGGAACACACATCAACTTGAACTAGCATGAGCCCAGCACCAAATTTACTGTAGAAAACGCGAACAATGAAGAATTTGATCCATTCTTAAAGGCAAAAGTTTGGATTAGGAACGGAACCACGGAGCTGTCCTGGTTGAAGAAGCGAGCTTCAAGGAAGATGCTGCTGCACGCTAGAAGTTGCCTCTTCCTGCATATGGAAGCCAATGTTGTTCGAAACTTGGTAATCGCTAAGGGAAAAAACATGCACCCAACAATCATCAGAAGTAGATTTGATGCTAGAGAATATGCTCAGGGAGAATGATTACACGAGCACTCACACCCATGCATGGAGACCACATTCTGCGGCGGACAATCTCCTTGGTATTGTCTTATCTCACTGGAACCACGGCACTAAAAGTAAATAAAATAGTAACGCACCACTCTCGATGCGCTTAATATTCCGTCCCCCACCAAACCTGAAACGCCTTCTCACGTTTTTGAGGCCTTATGAGGATAGGTGTGGAAGGGCAAGGTAGTTACTGCGATGACTTCGAAACTTGTCAGCTCAAGAGGACAATTTAATTGGTAGAGTGTCAAGGATGCGGGCAAAAATATGAGGGAGAAACTGTGAGGTCTCGTCAAACGTATCGACAAACAACCGAGAGCGCTGGGAATTTTAACACATTCCGGACCGCATGGCACACATGGTGTGTCACACTTGTCTGCTCCCTGTGGCCGCGTGACACACATGGTGTGTCATGATCTTCAGAGGCTAAAATTTTCTTATATTTTGACTGTTGCACGATTTCTCTTAGTTTTCATATATCCTTGTAGGGGTACGAATTCCTGTGTATGGTTGGGCCATGAAAAGCTCCGATAGTTTATTTGTGAAATATTTTTTTCTGAAGTATGACCCACTCATAAGACCATCATGCTATATAAATGCATCGCACATAGAACAATTAGCTGACAGACTGATCTACTGAGGCCACTCACTGTCCTGTTCATGATTTTGGCACACCCTTACAGCGTCCGCTTTATTTGGCGCCACTGGGCTCCAGTTTGGCGCTGCGTCTTTTTGCGCCATATCCAATCGAGGAAACATGCGTTTGAGGGATGATCAGGGAATCCCTCATAGAACTGAGTTTCTTTCTTGATGACGGCGCTATTTGACGCAGTTTGGCGCCAGTTTGGCGTGATGACATCTTTCACGGAAATCAACAGATATGCGTTTGGAGGTTAGCGGGGTCTCTGTTAGGTATCTCCAGTGGTGATCTTCACCGGCGACGCCACAACACGCCAGTCCAGCGCTATGACAATTCTTCGGTCGAACAATATAAGCTCAACGAATAGGATAAATGCATACATAATATTCATGATTTCGCTTCATTGAAATTTGATGTGATCTGTTATACTCGCGGGGAGAATCGGCGAAACGGCGTCCCGGAAAAGTGCCCTCTAGTAGCTGACCTTCAAACGGAGGACAGTTACAGGGCTCTAGAGAGAGGAGAGAGAGGAGAGAGGTTTGTTGTTGTTAAAGCGTGTTTCCCAATAAATTCTTTCACATTTCACATATCAATTGAATACACAAATGGAAACTCATGCGATACCTTGTTATTATTATTATTATTATTATTATTATTATTATTATATTATTATTATTATTATTATTATTATTATTATTATTATTATTATTATTTATTATCGGCATATCGGTTGACAGTGGAAAACATTTAAAAACCAAAACAGAAGAAACACTCCGTTAAACAACATAGAAATCAGTGTGAAGGCAGTACAGGGAGTTTGTCCATACACGCACGACAGACTCCGGATACCAGCTTAGTAGGTCCGCCAACTTGGTGGGCTCCAGCTCCAACAGCCGCAAGTAAAAAATCGCAGTGGGATGAACCAGGTTGAAAATTTTCAGAGAGAGAGAGAGAGAGAGAGATGAGAGAGAGAGAGGAGAGAGAGAGAGAGCAAGGAAAAAAACCACGAAACATTCTCAAATTATGACACAAAACACATATTACTGAAACATGACTCAAAACTTAGCTAGGATTACATAGATAACCGAATCGCCACTCAGCCTTTTAAAGTGTTATAATTTAGCCTCTGTTCCAGAACCAACCTTGTGAGATCATAACTTTCCTAACTTTACTTCTAAACGACTTCGAAGAACTCGAAGTAGTAGATGGCAAATTATTTCATAAAACTGATAATCCTTTGAGTAAAGAATTGCGGTATTCATTTGACTTTATTTTCTCTCTTATAAGCTTATATCGATGACCCCTGGTGCGCCCAATCGTTGAAGTTTTTTTGAAAGGAACATTGAAGTCTAAGTCTACCAACTTGGCGGAAAGCTTGAAAACCAGCTCATAATCACTCAACTTTCTTCTCATTTCTAGTGAGTCCTCCTTTAAGTACTTCAGCCTATCTCTATATGACACATGAATTCAATTCTATTCTTCAAGAGAGCCGTTGCAACTGGCGCGTAGCGGAGCTAAATGGCGTTGGCGCTCGAAATGGATGTCATATTCAGGAGCCACCCATCAATACCCCAAATGCAAAGTTTCATCAATTTCGTTGGGAACGATCGTTGCGCCTAATACCGCTAAGTGTCGCCAAATGGCGCCAGCGCTAGAAGTAAATGTCATATTCATGTTCGCAATCCCTGAATACCCCTAAATGCAAAGTCACATCAATTTCGTTAGAAGTGGTCGTGGCGCCAAAAAGGCGCCCAAAGGCACCAAATGGCGCCAGCGGCAAAAAGAATTTCACATTCGTAATTGGCTTGTGAAAGAATCCCCAAATGCAAATTTGCGGGTGAAGTAACCAAGGAGAAAGAATCGCGTCTAAAAAATGCCCCGTGTGGCCACATGACACGCCGCGTGTGTCACGCCAGCCTCGCATCGAAAAAGGCCGCGGTCACACGTGAATGCCACGCGAAATAGGCGTCGGTCCGGAATGTGTTAAACAACAGGGACGACCTACGTACATTATGCAAATCATCTTTTGATCGTGTCACAAAGTATCTCATTATTCAAGGTATGGTCAAGGTGGGTTGGCTATTTCATGCCAGCAGGGTAAGTGGATAGATTGGGGAGCAGCCCGTATGAGTAAGATTCGTATCATGGGTACCGTCCAACCAAACGACATGCTAAAATTCAAGGCCTGACGGAGGCGTTAGGCACCGAAATATTGCAAGCTGATGAATTTCGAAAAACTTCCTAGACTTTCGGTGTCTTTTGAGTTTTCTGGAATAAATATTTGGAGTTTCACACTCTTAGCAAACATCCGGACAAAGTTAGACTTCGGGACAGCACAATACTCATGACAGCTTTGTTTAATTTCAAAGATCTGGTTTTCTTTTCCGTCACTAGAAAGTGCTCTTCGGTAGTTCTGAGTAATTCTCTTTTCCCACCCCAAATTAATGATTCGAGTGTCCTGAGCATTGTTGTGGCTCTGCGTTCAACACAGTAGTCATTGTCGGAGGATAGAGTGGATACCAAGCGCCTCATTCGAATATATATTGCAGCTTATTTGCAATGTTGGATAGTGTAACATCACAAAATTTAAAAGATAGGTAAGAAATAAAGTGAACCACCTCGGCATTTGGATTTCACAACCCACCATTTTTAATGCGGGACGTCCCTCTACCACATTTTCTTTTTGGACACTTTCGCGAGAGAATCGGGTATTGAACACTCTTTGATGACATTATTGTAACGTGATGAATACATATAATGTGTTTCTCATACTAGTACAGAGCTCATTGCTACTTTAAGCTCGTTTTGAGTCGGTGATATGTGGTGCGTTTTATTTCAAGCACTCACCTGACCATCCATTCTGCTGGTTTTTTTTACATACATTCACATTTCCGTAGAGTTGATGTACAAAACTGATATATACTTGCATATAGCAGAGCGTCTGGACATCATCGACCACCCGGCTCATGACCCAGATTGGTGGCTGGCGCGTAACTCGGCCGGCCAACAAGGTCTCGTTCCGAAGAACTACATAGAGGTACCTTCTCATTAGTTCTATTTTTTTTCTCAGAATTTTATCACGGTTATTGTCTTTAGCGATGCGATTCGTTACATTCCAGGGCATATTGAGAGATTCTGTACTAGTATTGTGTAAAACGTTTCAAGTTGCAAAGTCTAATCTTCAGCTGGTTTGAAGATCCCTTCTGTTATTGTCATTCTTGAGATCAGAATTGTTTGTGATACGATGCGAATAATGTGTAGAGATCTAAGCAAATCTGTTGATGACGAACTGTGCACTTCCCCTCTATTTTTGGTGTGAATGGGTCTGCAGCTGCAGTAGCGCGCCACCTTTTCCGCTCAAAAGTGCAGGTAAAAGGGCCTGAGGGTACTCGAGGCCCTCGGGTATCGCTACCCTTCAATCCCCTTTCCGTGCACTTTTGAATAGAAAGTGATGCACTACTGCAGCTGCTGACCCATTCATTTCGATCATGAAAGGGCGACCTAGAGGGTGAGCGCACAGGTGGTCTTCAAATTCTTGATCCCTTCTGTTATTGTCATTCTTGAGATCAGAATTGTTTGTGATACGATGCGAATAATGTGTAGAGATCTAAGCAAATCTGTTGATGACGAACTGTGCACTTCCCCTCTATTTTTGGTGTGAATGGGTCTGCAGCTGCAGTAGCGCGCCACCTTTTCCGCTCAAAAGTGCAGGTAAAAGGGCCTGAGGGTACTCGAGGCCCTCGGGTATCGCTACCCTTCAATCCCCTTTCCGTGCACTTTTGAATAGAAAGTGATGCACTACTGCAGCTGCTGACCCATTCATTTCGATCATGGAAAGGGCCGACCTAGAGGGTGAGCGCACAGGTGGCCTTCAAATTCTTCCATAATTCGTGTCCAAATATCGTTCAGATCCAAGCTTGTCTGTTACAATCGGACTATTGACGAATACATGTGGCATGTTGGATAGCAGTGTAAAGGCCTAAGACGACAGTTCTAGAAATAGAAGACGCGTTGCGGATCAAGCATCTAGAAGTTTTGGTGGGGAGCACCTCTTAGACTGAACTACGATTTGTGTATGATTCCAAGGCCAGTAGAAGATGGACGGCGGGCAGCACTAAATTAGTAATAGGCACTGCTACTAAACGGGCTAAGAGGCAATGAGTAAACTGCAGCTCAAGCTGAGGAGAACAATCTTACACCAGCTGTTCGGTCACCTCGAATAAGCGTCTCGTACTCCATGAGTAGGGAGTGCATGCAGCATCGACTATGGAGCAAACACGTGGGGTCGACTGTACACAGTGCTCCACTTCTGAATGAACTAGGCTAACGCAAGGTCAGGTCTTGATAAACACCGCATGCATCAGCCGACTGTGTGCGAGCAGCACTTTGACTACCCACAGGTGACTTCGGCACTGTTCAACTATTACTACCCCAATTTTCCGAAAACGAGTCGGATCTTGATCGACTTTTTTCTACGGGGCAGATTTGGCTGAAAGTTGGGTTCTAGGGGTTCGACTCCCTGAACGAATATCACATCCACTCGGCCTGAAACAGCTCGGCGCCCACGCCACAGGCGCCAGGGCCAACATGCCCTAAACCACTGGCGCCTGTGGCGCGGGTGCCAGGCACTTTCAGGCCAAATGGATGTGATATTCGTGTTCACGAGGTCGAATTACCCCTACAACCCGAATTTCAGCCAAATCTGCCCCCGTAGAAAAAAGCTGATCGAGGTCCGGCCTGATTTCACAAAACTGGGTAGTAATAATTGAATAGTGCCGTGCTTCTTCTCTGTCCGCTTCGGCAAGAATTTCCCAGAGGCGACCATTATCAAAAATTCGATTAAGTTTTTAGTGGCTTTGATTCCTCACATGTGGTCATCCCTTTCATGGAAGGCAATGATTTGCTATTTATCAGATGTTGCGATCGAAAACCTGATAATATCTAAAATGCCCATGATCCCTTTTTTTACAGATAAGCGAGGGGGCTTTGGGTGGAGGCTATATTCATGCATGTTTAGTCCTCCTTCAGGTGCGGATTTTTCATCGTTTCCGCTGCAGACCTCGAACTTTTATGCTGTAAATGTTAGTCAATGGGAATTTTATGTTTTTAGCCATATTTGCATGTTTCCTAATTCCAACCATCACCAATTGCCAGATTTACAAGCACTTGCCGTTTTGTACCTTTCATCTTAATGTTCACGTCCTGTGACACTAGAGAGAAAGAAAAACAAGGAAATACAGGGTAAAAGGTTGAGAAGAGAAAGAACGCTCTAAACAAACTACATGGCTTCGCATTAATCAGAAGTTGGCAAAATGCTCGGTTTCCTTAGAGAGTGAACAATAAGACTAGGTATATTGCCTGCTAGCTCACTATCACCTTCACACTACCGCTAAAGAAATCACCAGAAAGAACTTTCATAACGTAGACGTCAGTTTCAAAAGCAGAGTATTTAATGAAATACCCTTTAACAGAAGCTTCAATTCACGTAAGAGAGATACTACTCAGCGATAATGGAAAGCGTAGTGAATTCACTCCAATCAGAATTATTTATAAGTACAACAATACAATGACTAGCAAAATTTGCAATTACAACAAAATGTTAAAAGATCTCGACAGTGAAAGATCGAAGCAGATACTTAACAACGATTATACATTTACTACAAATACAGTCCATGAATATGTGGATAAAAATTATGGGCACGTTATCACAGGAACTGTAAATCTTGTAAAAGAAGAGTCTCACCAGGAAAGGTCAACAGGTCAGCCTGACCATTTGCAATGAGATTCACATCGTTGTACGCGTCTTGGGACAGTGAACTCAAATCTACCTTCAGAATTTGCGGAATGATTCTCTGAACGGAGATATGGAGGGTCTTATCACCGCGTGGTCGTTTCATATGCTATCGCGAAGAAATGCGGAAGCGTCTTTACATTTATGTATGGAGTCATGCTGGAACGTGGCAGTAGAGCGCAACGGGTAGGGAGCGGGTTTATTAGGAGAGACCTCGTAGGATCGGTTCCGGGGTAGGTCAATTTTTTGTATTTGTCCAAGAACATGGCCGACAAAACTTCTAACATCGCTGCTCGCCTGCTCTACCCTATAAGGGAACCTCCGATCAGTTTCTTTTTCCGAAGGTGAGGATCCATTGTGGTCTGAAAAAGTGCTTCAGCTTGTACCCCTCGTAACACGTGTCACAAGGGTTTTTGCGATGAAATACCATCATATTCATGTTCAGCGGGTTAAATTACCCCTGGGGACAAGTTTCCAGCCGAATCTCATATTTCGACCTCACTTGGAAAATGTGGGCTATTCCATGGGTAATTAGCAGCAGATTGGAGCTCACCTACCTTCGATGACTGATCTCGGAATGGGATTTCCTCCCGACAGTCAAGAAAATGATGCAGGCGGCACAAATAAGTAAACCAGGTACTGTTGTTTGCAAAGAGACATGACTGAAGGGTTATTTCAGTTCGAACACCAGTCATAACCTGTATGCTGGTCGTAGTATCGCTGTAGGCTATCAGTCAGCCATGACTATAAATACCCATTTTTTTCGAAGTTGAGTCAGAACCTCAGATTTCGCTAAGGTGACGTCCCTAGGGGTTATTTGACCCCCTGAACACGAATATGATACGTGTTTTGCACGAAGAGCGCTGTGAGTCGCGCTACATGTGCCAACGCTTCGGCGCCAGCGCGCAAGGAAAACTTCTCTAACTGCGCTCGGAGAATCGTTCCGCAAATTTTGAAGATAGTTTTGAGTTCACCGTCTCAAGACGGGTAAGATGAGCATCTCATTGCAAATGGCCAGGCTGACCTGTTGACCTTTCCTGGTCAGGAAATGGCTGAGTAAAGGGACTAAATATAGATCAGACACAGGTATAGCAAGACATTAACTTACGATGGTGTTTGAAGATACACTCATCAAGGTCATGAATTACTTCAAATGTAAATACAAAGCTAGCAGTCACAAAGTTATTCTATTACAGAAACATTTTCGTTCATGTTACCAGGAAAAAGTAAAACCTCTACTGAAAAAGGGTAATACCGCAAGTATAGGAGAACACATACCTTACATTTCGATCAAACAATATTAGAAGAAGTATGTGTTTTGTCCCCTTGACAGAGCAACTAATAACTATGGCATCATCTGCAAGAAGTTCTATCTTTTAAACATAATGCATGAAATGGGTATTGCTTATGATGCTGCCAACCACACAGTTATTAATGGAAACAATAATAACACGTATGAATTTATGCCTCAAACAAACAAGTATTCTTTAATATTGAAGCCCAAATTCCTTTGCCTAAAGAGTAGTATCAGTATATCTATTGATGCAGAAATACCTACTATATGTCTTACCAAGGCTGCGTAAGAATCCAATCAAATTCAGATACATCACAGGTGCTTACAGCAGCAGTGTTAAGCCCTTGGCCCAGGAACTACGCATAGTCTGTAAACATCTCACGAATCACTTTATTAATTATGCCAAAGTAATACAGAATCGCAACAGGACTATTAAGCATACTGGTCTATTAGTAATATTAATACAAGTCACGAATTACACAAAATACCATTCGACAATCTCAAAATTTACACTGCGGATTTCACGGACATGTTCACAATTTTAGAACATGATGTCATTATTAAGAAAATGCAAGAACTTCTTAACACTTGCTTCAAGAATGCCAACAGATGCTTGACTGCCACTAATGGTCACCTTGTTTTCTATACAGATGGTAAAAAATTAAAAGCAACTAAGATACTGCAAGTCCAGCGAATTTAGTATACCTAATCGACTATCTTTTACGAAACAGTTTTTGTCTTTTTGCAAATAAAACGTTCAAACAGACTAAAGTGTCCCACAAGGTGACAGTTTCAGTCCGCTATTGGCAGGCCTTACGCTTTCAGTCATGGAGTACTACTATGCGGAATCCAAGCAGTTTAATAATAGTAAGCTGTTCATTCCATATAGATATACCAGTCGGATCACCCGGCTGCCGCCGGGTGCTCCTCCTTCTTTGTCACGGCCCAGGGCGGCCTGGCTTCGCCAGGCACTCTTCCCTTAGGCGAGTTAGAGTGTGCAATATACTCAACCGTCACAGTGCATTTTCCAGCAAAATGTACAAAAATAATTGAAATTAGCTCGAGTAAT